TTGGTGCCTCCTGTGTGTATCTTTGCAGTTTACTGGTTCAGATAAGTGATGGAATGAAAAATAGGAAGTTTAAAAAGATGTCCCTCAGCTGTGAATTACTCTTGTTCCCAATAACTTTATGTGCATATTTCTGTACTTGTGCATGTGTTTGTGTTTAAGACCTGCTGGGCCATCCTTCAGTTGTTCTCATGCTATTCTTTGTTTACCAGAGTATATGGGTTAATGACATGCAAGAATATCCACGATAAAGAAAAAGAAAAATCTTTACAACGCATGCAAAAAGGAAAGAAAAATTGAGTCTAATTTCTTTTAAATTAACTTTTGTTTTCATGTTGGTTTAATGTGGTTTTGAAACACTATACCAATTTCAAAAAAGCTAAATATTTAATGACTCTAAAAATGTACTGTTGTGTGGCAATCAAGGAAAATGTAATGTTTTATAATGTTGTAACATATTTTCCTTATATCTTGAATACATGTGAGTGTACACATCATTATATCCCAGAACATTTTCGAAAGTATTTTCAAGCTAAAAAGTATAGATTTTAAAACAGCATAAATTGTTAATTCACAAATACCATTACGATTTTTGGAAGCCGTACCACATTTACAACCTGACCTAACCTGGTATTTTCATAAAAAAAATATGTTTTTAATGTTTATATTTTGCCCATACTACTTAACTGTGATTTTGCAGACACGTTTTTTTCCCCCCAAATGGTAATAAGTAGTGAAACAGTTTATTTCTCTCCAAAGACTTATTCTTCTCAAGATTTTCATTCTTTTAATGAGGCTTTTTTCTTAATTATGATAAGAGAGTTGTATCCCCCTGAAGTTTTGTCCTTTTTCACCAAAAATATCAAAATGAATTTTAATTTAGAAATTAAAAACATGCTCAACATAGAAGAGTTGTATTCAAGTCGATTTATGTATGAAATGCATTTTTAATGTATTTTTGAATTATATTTTATCCTGCTTGAACCAACCCAACATCGTCCGCTCTTAATTATTTCCACATGATTTGACTGGCAGCATCAAAAAAGGAGTCATTGTGGCAAACTTGGCATCCTTCCTCCATGCCATTGGAGACAGGGTGGGCACCGCATGGGTTTTCTATGAACTCAAAGCATGCCACTGACTCATGACTTCAAAGTCAACGTCTGCACTTGAAACTGGGGTAGGGGCAGAGACGAACTGGATCTGAAATCGGGGTTATTGTGGGATTTTTGTGCAGTGAAGCAGATTTTCTCTCTCCTAATTGAGAGCGCATGGCAGTTCTGTTCCCACTTGGAGAGACTCAGATTTGATTGTTTATGCCCACACTGGCGCTGATGTCGACAAGATGAACCGTAGAGGTGTCGCCGTGTGGAGTCGCAGAAGAACTGTAATGATTAACGATTAGTGTTTAGTCTGAAGTTCACGTTTCATTTAAATTCTATCCCGAATGGCTGTTTTTGAATGAACGTTGTGCATGTGGAAACGGTCAACTGCTGCAATGCAGAAATTACTGACTCACAGTTCAGGTTAAAGACTAGCACCAGTAATTGAAAAGAAGTCAGAGGATCCAAAACCATGGTGACCACATCAAAGCGCATTTAGTGGTCAGATGATGTGTAGTCAATGATGTGTTCGAGCTTGCTTTGTGGCAATCAAACACAATGTACGATGATACAAGTGTTTTTGCTTGCATGTGCCTGTTTTGCGATGAGTAGGGCCTTGGCACCGGATGGAGATGTGTTTGTGAGAGCACAGCTGGAGACTGGGCCTTCCACCGAACTCTTATGATGAGTGCTTGAATGTGTCACACATGGCAGAATCAGTTTCTCATGCATAAGGAAATGGTGTTTCTTTTTTTTTTTTTGGTAATGTAGTAAATCCCTGGCCTGATTTGAATTTGGTTTGCACCACCACTTACTTAAATGCCAGATCCTAAGAGTCTTGAAACTTCAGACTTGGCAATCAAGCAAAAGCATTCAAGCTGTCAGTTTTATATTGTAGTAGTTACATAGTTTTGCACTTTTTAATCCTGAAACAGCAAGTAGACAATTGTTTAAAGACTTGCAAAGAAACAAAATGCATGCAATCCTTTGATTTGATTGGCCCGATTAAGACAATTTCTTACCTTGGATTATGTCCAAATTGCTGTACTATTATAGTGCGTTGAATTGGATTAAAAAAAAGTACTTCTAGTCTTCTTAAAGTGCTCCTATTATGCTTTTTTAAGAAAGGTCCGCAAAGTTTTGAACGACAAATAAAGGTATTGTCTCCTAAAAGAAGAAATCGATTCTGAACTGCCGAAACAAGTCGTCAGCGATTACAGTCTCACTTCCGTAACTTATCTACAAATGTTTGTTACAAATTTGCATAATGCCAGATATGGTCTTCATTGGTATTCACTGCCACAAACAACGTCTACTTTGACCCACCATCAGACACTATAGTTGTAGCAGAGACCTGAAGAGATTGGTTCGTGTTGTCGAGAAGACGCTGTGAAAACAAATCCACTTTGTATGAACTTCCAAAGAATGAGGACTCGTGCTGGAATTTATTCGGTAAAACCGACACCATCATTACTGTTCGTATCACTGTGTATTAAATGCTAAAATTAATATATGGTAATGAGCGTTTCATTTCCGGCAGACCAATCACTTCAGAATCTCAGCAAATGTACGTTAGCCGGATGTTGTTGGCTTATTGTTGTTGGCCTATTGTAAATACTTAGTACTGGACTTCCTACTCATTTGACATGCTGTTTGCATACTGTATGCAAGTTTGGACATTTGAACTTCCTGACAGTGTGAAAAGAAAAGCGTAAAAACAGGTGCACATTATTGTGGTTTACTGGGAGGCAGTTGCATAAACTATAGAATAAGTGGAATCATTAGCAGATTAAAATGTAAACTGTGAGAATTTTAATTTTCTTTAAACAATGAGGTGATGGATATGCTAAATTAAGTTAGAAAAGAACAATCAACAAGGACTGAAAGGAACACATTGGTAATAGTTTTAGAAAGGAAAGCACAATGATTCATTTCCATAATGGATTGCAGCATACTTCATTTCATTTCCATATAAAAACCAGAATATCATTTGAGTCTCACCTTCCGCTTCCAAGAAAATAACATTTCGAGGACATTTGTATATGTATGTTTTAAAATGTTATAAACAGGAAGAATGTAATTAAGAATAAATTAGGTCATGGGAATTTCTATAATGAAACAGATATTTTTCACAAAAAACAAAAATGATGCAAGTCATCACCTGTCACACTTCACGTGTTATATAGCCTATGCTTTTAAAATGCATGTTTAAAAAAGCATTTTATCCCTGTTTTTGAGCAAAAATTGTATCAAATGTTTTGCCTGTGCAGTGTTTTTAAAACTATATCTCCAAAAAACAACTTAGTCATAACGGAAATTAGTCAAGATTCTAAAAAAGAAGTTCATTAATAGCTTCAAACTGGAGCACATAACTTAACTAATTTTAAAATGTGTAAAGTCATGTGCTCCAGTTTGAGGCTATTAACGAACTTCTTTGATTATTGTAAAAATTATATATATATATATATATATAATAATCTTACGTCTAATATATACTTAAAACAAATTTTATTTTAATACTTCAGTACTTATTTAGTTATTTTCCAACATTTTGATTTAAAAAAGAAAGTTTTTTAAGTCTGTTACTCATCTAATACTTTTATTTTACTTCAGCTTTATTTCAGTTACCGAAAATGTTTGTAATAGTTTTGGTTAACAACACTGATGCATCTTTTAGATAAATGAAAAGCATTTAAAAAGTAACAGCAAACCCAGAATGATTAGCTCCATGAAATTTAAATGCTATACGCTGGCTGTGATTTTTTTTTTTTAACTCAGCTGGTTGTTTTCGATTCTTCATTTGACGGATACTTGTGTTGGTAATTTAGAGAACAGCCTGCAGTAAATTGGTGTCTGTCTCCAGATTGACGGCCACAACATTCACATGTTAGACAACATTAGTCACTAAAATTAGTCACATAGGCCCCAATTCTGATTTGTTGCCTATATCCGATTTTTTTTACCGTCCGTTTACACGTTCTTTAAATTGTGACCCATACCCGAGTCATGTGTTTACACTTGACTGAAACATCGCGCATGTTTACAGGGGTCTTCTTGCTCAGATGGACGAACGCGCAGCGAGATCTCAGCACTGGTGGGAACATACAACACGATCTCATAAAAGTGAGTATCTATAGCACAAATTTTATTTCTCATGCCATTTATACGCCAAAAATAGTTTTTGCTTGCATATGATGCGCACTGTAAACGTGCGTATTAAACGCCATAAAGTGCGTATCATGCACGCAAAAACTATTTTTGGCGTAAATGGCACCTGAAAAAAAAATCGTGCAATAAACGCACTTTCATGAGATCGTGCCGGGCATTTACGAGGAGCAGTGGGTCCGAAATTTTAGGATGAGCAAGCCAACCTTTGATATGTTGTGTCAACGTGTGTCCACATTCCTCTCCTACGACGACACAATGTTTCATCGGGCCATCCGTCCATCCGCAGAGGCGCGTCTGGGTTTCTCTCGTCATTAAACCGCGGAGACGCAGCCTAATGCCTCGGAAAATCCGATCTGCCTGTTTACATGACAGTCGCATTGGCACATATCCGATTTACATCTGACTTATTTCCACATATGAACGAGGCCTGAAACCGATCTCGAAATATCCGAATGCATGCGTTTTTTTCCTGTTTACACTGTCATAGAACACATCCGATCTGTGTCGCATACGAGTAAAAAATCGGAATTGGGTCACATTTCATTGACAGTGTAAACGAGGCCATAGTCACATTCCCACCATGTTGGGAACTTTAAGCAGTGTGTTTTGTCTAAAGCACTGTGGGCCAGACACAACAACACACTTAAACAAATAACGGTGATCAATCAACTGATAATAAACATTTAACATAGTGCTTATTTTTCTCTTTTTCCCGTCTATTTCTTTCTCCAGGTGCTAAGAGGACCGCAGCTCATCGCTGTGGCGTCGAGCGACGGGGCCGGCGGGGTTGACGCATCGCCTCTCCAGGGTAACGATATTCAGGTGCAATACGTCCAGCTGGGAACGGTGACCGACCACACTGGCGCAGTACAAGTGAGATAAGCCAAAACACACACAAACACAACTTACCATAGTAACGTTTACGTCAACAATGTTATCTGTGGCGTATAACCATTTTATTTCAGGGAGAAATGTTTTCTGTCACAAAACGACCACCAATGTTGCACGGCTGTTGCGATGAATGTCATCTCCACCATTCTGATCTGTGGTGGGCGGCAATTCTGTTCAAACACCGCAGGGTGGCGTAGTGGCCAATATGTGTGATCTATACATTTCAAGTCTTTAACTCGCTCTCTCACAATGTGTTCTTTGAAGAAGTGATCTTAACCTGCACCGCTCTCACTTTCGGGCTAATCAGCAACCCACATCAGTTTGTTTTTCCTCGGAATAATAAATAGCCTCAAGTTGTCCTTTTCCTCCCTGTCTATTTTCTCATTTTTATCCCCGTTTCCATCTTACGCTCTGCATCAAGCTCTCGACATGCTCAAGCCCTCCTTGATGTGTTTTTTACTCTAATCACTTCCCTATGATGCCTTTACCGCGTTTCAGAGCCGCTATATGGCGTGCGCACATATTTAAACACATTTAGAGGTTTGACAGTCATTACAGGTCACCACATTTCCCCAGCTGCTCTCACGTGTTTGGTTCATGTGAGGCTTCAAGCTCGGGTTGAGGGGCACAGGCACAATTTGACTTGCATACTTGCACATATGCTTTTATCTGTCTTTATTGAAGCAAACACTGGTTTAAATCTGAAACCAAGAACAATCGGTGAACAATTTGAAATTAGTGAAAAATTTTGGTTGGTCAAGACTTTTTGCTTGGTAAGATAAAAAACTAAAACAATAAAATTATTTAGATTAATGTATACAGTTTATTTTCAGTGTAGACGCTTTGCTTGCAATGATACGGAATATCCGCGGAACGGTTACTAGTATTAGATTTTGCAAATAGTTTGTTTCAGAATATAAAAGTCTCGACACAATGTAACGTACTTGCTCTGGCACTAGTTCTGCATAAAGAGACATGCTTGTTATTGTCATTTGTTATCGTCATACAAGCAGATTGTGGCGATTGGTCGTTGTGGTATCTGTCCCGCCCCTCTTGCACTGTGATTGGACGACCGGGTAAAAAGTGACAGTGATGAGCGCTGCGTTTTCCCCCCGACGTTGAACATTATAAAACTCTCGGCAACCGGTAAAAACCTTGTCACGCTGCTGCCGTTTTAAAAATGCAAGAACTCCCATTGAAAACACTTGAAAAAATACGCTTGCTTTGGGGGAAAAAAGCTTTGGTGGACACACGATAGACAAAATGTATGTCTAAAACAAAACAAAACGATGTAAAAATGAACAGTGAGAACAGTGTTTCAGTGCTCTTTGTTGTGGACCATCCCCCTTACATAAAAAATAATAACTCTCAGACACTTACGCCACTGGCACGCACCCCCAGTATAGCTTTTGTGAGTGAGAGAATGTGAGCTATTTGGTAACAGGAATGAGGACAAGGCTTTTACCACAGTTGCCCTTTAAAGTGGTTCGGCTGGTACAACTAAAACCTCTTTAGACGGAGACCTTTGGGCGCTTATGGTTTAAATATTCTTAAAGGGCATTTCCTGCATAAAGTCAGTACTTTTCTTCTATTTTGCTTTGCTAATACACTTTCCTTGTCTTGTTGTGAATGATTCATCAGCTCACGTTATTTCAAAAGAAATGAAATCTTTAATTAAAATGTAACGCCTTGCTCCGCCTCTGCAGATGACATCACCAAGACCTCTTCTTTTTCAGCCCCTCCCCCTTTCTGTAATGTGCTGTAAACAAAGCCCATACAAAAACAAATGTTCCCCTTCCTTTCTTTGAAGGACATTCTTTCATCAGATGTGCTGTAACTGGGCCAAATTTTGTTATACAGCTTATTAGTGGTCTCCATGCCTTGTTATCTGAGTGACCTGCATCGTTCTTTTCCTCTTTCTCCGTCTCACGGACATTACACACTTGCGTTTTGGCCGACCTTCAAATATGTAGCGTCTCATCTTCGTCTGAGCACGCTGTACCAAACCCCGGAAAACATGCAGTTTGTGGGAACCGCCTCTGTACCCAGACCCCATCACAGGGTCTCTAGCCTCACTTGTTACTTGGTGGTCTGGACGCCTTCCAAATTGTCTCTGCAATTATACTGTACACATCAAAGCTGTTGGAAAGTTGTTAATGGACTTTGATGCTTTTGCAGAACCCCGCATGCGCAGCATTTGTCGCAATCAACCGAGGATCTTTGCGAATCGATTATAGATTACTGCCGTTTTGTGGCGAACCACCTGTTATTGTGACGGGGAGCAAATATAAACAGCTGCCAGAGGAAATTATTAATGTTTATGGCATGAGCTCGTGGAAAAACTACCTGCTGTTTTTGGGAAGATGATTCGGTGGGACATTTGTGTACATGTAAATCCATTCTGTAACACTTTATTTTGATGGTCCCCTTTAGACATTCTGTTGACTATAAGTAACTGTGTAACTACATGTCAACTAACTCTTTTTTAGAGTATTAGTAGACTGTTAATATCTGCTTACTCTTTATTTTGATGCTCCTCCAACTGACTATAAGTAACTTTGCAACTACATACTTATTCTACCAACCCTAACCTAACAGTCCTAATACTCTAATGAGAGTTAGTTGACATGTAGGCGCAACGTTACTTAGTCTTGTCAATGTCTCAAGGAGACCATGAAAATGAACCATAAATTTCTTCTTGCTTTATATTTTGCTCTCTAGTTTTTTCAATTGTAATATTTAAAATCAAAATCGCTTGCTCTTAACTCTTAAATAAGTTTAAAAAAAAACATCACTACCTGGATATAGGCCTTATTTATTTCATATGCTTTAAAATTTACATCAAAACTTTAGGTAGAGTGGAAAATAATGTATTCAAAATTGAATTCAAATGTGTCCTAACCAGTAGCAAATGTTATTTTGATTTTTCATCCATTTCTTTTATCTTAGCCACACCCACAGTGAGATCTCATTGGTCCAAATTCCTGCTTCACATTAGGGAGAAAAAGTGATTACAAAAAAATGTATAAAACTTAAGAACGTTAGAGGCCCTCACGAAAAAATTAAAGTAAATTTAAATGTACTTTATAAGTGAATTTTATGTGGGCATCTGGGGAATATATATATATATATATATATATATAATGATTACAAAAAATAAATAAACACTTATCGGACCCCAGGGCAAAATTAAAGTAAAATTAAAATAAATAAAAAGATTTTAGCTTTTTATTTTTAATTTGCTGACCCATTAAAACCTACTTGATGAGCTTGAGTTCAGTCATTTTGACCCCGTGAAGTTTTTTTCCCCGAAAATGCTAGTTAACTTTATCGCATTGGACTAAAATGTACTGACTTTACTCTCCCTGGGTATAACTACTTCAAAACGGCAAATTTTTTGGAGTATTTTCATGATTTTTTTACACCTTGTTACACTTGTCGTGTCCTAATTAAAAGAAAACAAGTTGACAAAAAGATTGAATCCAATATTTAGTGATAATATAGCATAACAAAATGTGATTTACAAGCAATTTTTAAAGGCCGGGCATTTTTTGAGCAGGAACATCAAAGGCGATACAAGGTTTTCAACGCTAAGAAGCCAGGAAATGACATCAATAGTATATATTTTTTTACTAGGTTGATTTTTAAACTCAAGAAAAGCTTAATAATTGGGCAACTTGTAGTCAGTTCAATCATTTAATTTCCCGCTGAAATGATTTCAGACAGCTGTCCTCACATAGATGATGCTCTGCTGGCATCAACCTCCATCCTGAAGTCACCGCGCTTCCCTCTATGTGAATTTCAGGATTATTGAAATCGCTCTCATCTGCTGCACAAAAACAGGTGGTAGTGTTTACGGACATTTTTTTATGTACACACCCCTTCATTTCTACTTGTTTTGTTACTTCATTTAATAGTTTCCATATCACACATTTGATCACCACACACAAAAAAAGCTGCAAATAAAGAGAGGTTTCCGGCCAGGAAGGTCTGTTCTCTGTAGAGTCTGATAGAAGTGTCAGTTCACTTACTCTGTTAAACGATTCAGTCGTGAACTCCCTCATCGGCCCTAATGAGTGCCCTCTTGTGGAGCCGCGGGAAAGCGGCCCCTGAGGACTTTGCACTTAACACCTCAGATGAAAAGCACAGCCCGCGAGTGTCTCGCATTAGACGGGCTGTGTTTTAAGAGTTTTGGCACTTCTGGGCCGTGCCCTTGAGTACAGTTTGAGCCTTTGCACCGTGCAGGTGTGCGGTCTGTTCCCCTGGCGTGTGTTGAGGAAGAAATGACTCACTCCACATACTCTGAAGTGACTCATCCTGCGTTGTCTCCCCCTGCATCACTCCCTCCCTCCATCTTTCTCTTTCTTTTTTTCGAGGGAGTGTTTTTATTTCGACGACTGAGATAAAGTGTAGCCTTTTTCTGACCCTTTACTTTTCCCCTCTTTTTCCATCTCTTGTTGTTGTATTGGTCTTTGTTTTTGTTGTATCAATCTGTAGACCTGTCAGCGTTGTATTCGTCTGCTTTCACTGCCTTCATCAATATGGTAAAAGGGGACATGTTAAGCCTGGGCGAATGGCGGGATGTACAGTGTGGCGATTGATATGTATACACACGGTATTTTAATAGAACATCCGTATCGCAGACAGATACTTCTGTTGTGGATTTGTTTTTAATGCAGTGGATTCCTTTTTGACATGTTGGGTGCATCAGTTCAGTGTTGACACTGTTGATATGGTGCATTGATGTGGGATTCAGATGATGTGCGGTCAGCTGTGCACAAATGTCATAATACTGTAGTGGCTTCATATTTATATTGCTTTGCACTTGAGAGTCTTGTCAAGGTTTACATAATGTGAAGCTTTTTGTAATTATTACCAAGCTTCTTGGTTTAATTGAATTGCCCTCAAGTCAATCAAATTATCAAAATAAATAAATAAATAAAATCATATTAGAAGTATTTGACACACACACACACACACACACGCACACACTATCAGTCAGAAGTTTGGAAACATTACTATTTTTAATGTTTTTGAAAGAAATCTCTTATGCTCATCAAGCCTGCATTTATTTGATCAAAAATACATAAAAAACTGTAATTATTTTGAAATATTATTACAATTTAAAATAATGGTTTTCTATTTAAATATACTTTAAAATATAATTTATTTCTGTGATGCAAAGCTGAATTTTTTTCTCATTACTCCAGTCTTCAGTGTCACATGATCCTTCAGAAATCATTCATATATATACAGTATATATACACACACACACACACACACACACACACACACACACACACACACACACACACACACACACACACACACACACACACACAGTGCTGGTCAGAACTATTTGCCCCCTTGGTAAATATGATCAAAGATGGCTGTAAAAAATAAATCTGCATTGTTAATCCTTTTGATATTTTATTAAAAGAATTAGCAAAAATCTAACCTTGAAAGTGTGGGGAAAATCACATTATAAAATAAATATTTTTCTCCAAAACACGTTGGGAACAATTATTTCCCCCCATTTATCAAATACTTTTTGCAACCTCCTTTTTCTAAGAGACCAGCTCTGAGTCTTCTCCTATAATGCCTGATGAGTTTGGAGAACACCTGACAAGAGATCAGAGACCATTCCTTCATACAGAATCTCTCCAGATCCTGCAGATTCCCAGATCCATGTTGGCGCTTCTTCTCTTCTGTTCAGCCCACTCGTCTTCTATAGGGTTCAGGTCAGGGACTGGGACGGCCATTGCAGATGCTTAGTTTTGTGCAGTGACCCATTTTTGTTTTGATTTTGATGTTTGTTTTTGGATCACTGTCCTGTTGGAAGATCCAAACATGGCCCATTATAATGGCGCTTTTCTACTGCATGGTACGGTACGGCTCGGCTCACTTCGGCTCGCTTTAAATGGTACCACCTCTGTCGAGGTTCCAAGCGTACCGTACCGATACTAAAATGTGACGTGAACACACTGCAGATCACTGATTGGTCAGACAGATGGCTCTGGTCACTACCAGCGTCATTGTATTTGCGAGACATCAAACCCGCTAGATTTAAATAGCCAGTAACAGCCACCGCTGTTCTTCACAAAGAACCGGCAAAAGTAATGATTATGAATATGTAAAATATAGCAAGGAGATATTTTAATTGTTTATTAATAAACAAGTGTTTTCTTTGTCGGCTAAGATGAAGTTGACGATGCTGACTCGCGATCTTCAGTAGCCTAGTGAACGCGCCAGAGAGAAATGCACATTTCATAATAATAATAATAATACATTTTATTTATAATGTGCTTTTCTAAAACCCAAAGCGCTACAAACAATAAAACAAGTAAAATACAGAAGTACAAAAGTAATACAAAAATAATCATTACAGTACACATCATTAAAATACTAATCATAAGTCTATGTAAGCAATTTTAAAAAGATGTGTTTTTAACAACTTCTTGAAACTGGCTAATGTGGGAGCATCTCTAACAGTAAGAGGAAGTGCATTCCATAACCTGGGTGCTGCGACAGAGAAAGCTCTCTCTTCTGTATTTTATTGTACTTCTGCTTAAGGATTACATAAGCAGAAAGCAGTCTGTAGTCTGTTTTCTTTCGTTTTGAATTGTTCTGTTTAAAAGTAGACATGTGAGGCAAGTAGGCTACCTTATATGCGGAGTTTCGGTTAATTTATGAGACGAGCTCCAGTTCACGTGCCGGCGCCTCCGTTTCCTATCTATTGTCTGCTATATTTGCTTCTTATTTATTAAATCCAGGTAATTGGTTGATGAAACATTGATTACAATTAAGATACAATTAATACAAAACGAAATTCAGGTTAAAGAAAGGTTTTGTGATTTCTGTTTGATGTCTGTGAATGTTTTAAAGCATATTTTAGTGCCGATTTCAGAGCGCTCACGTCCGTAACGGAGAACATGTCCGTAACATTGTTTTTTCCTCATAAATGCGAACAGGAAAAATAAAATAAAATAAAATTAATATTTTATGTACTGTGGAGACTGAGAGCCAACCCTTCTTCATCCGGTGGGTAGTATTACTTTGGTTTGCGCAGTGTAATTCACATAATCACTAAAAAAATATTTTGCCTCCCAAGTTTTTTTTTTTTAAGCAATCAGAAATCTGAGGGCACTGCTATAATCCCACCCACTTTGAAGCGGTACTAACTGCAGTGGAAAAGCAAACCGAGCTAAGGCAAATCGTCGTACCACGCAGTGGAAAAGCGAAGCGAGCCGAACCGTGCCGCGCCACGCCGAACCGTACTGAGCCGTACCGAGCAGTGGAAAAGCGCCATATGATTTCTAGCACAGGCTGTCAGGTTTTGATTTTTTTATCTGTTGGTATTTGATCGAATCCATGATGCCATGTATCTGAACAAGATGTCCAGTACCTGTGGCCGAAAATTAGGCCCACAGCATTAAAGATACAGCAGAGTATTTCATTTTACACTTGGGGTACTTTTTTCTCCCTGTATGAACCAAACCCAATAGAACGTTCAGGAAACCATTCATTCTTTCAATCATTATTTTTGCAGTGGCATTTCATAGTAGCACAACACTGTTTAACTCATGGACTGTTTTTCGTCCTCAGGCTGACGCTCTGACTCCAGGTCTGCAGACGGAGATGGACGTAAAGGAGGCCATTCAGCTTCAACAAGCCGAGAACGGAGAGGTGGTTCAGATCCAGATGCCAGGCACTTGAAAAACCTTCTCGCATGTTCATAAACAATGATCTTCGGCTAGAGCGTCAAGGAGAGGGCGAAACCAAGAAGCGTGGCCACTCAAGCTCAAATTCCCAACCGAAACCACCGCTGTCAGTCAACAATTATTGACTAAATCCAAGTAAAACAAATGCAATTTGTTGTAACATGTCAGCTGGTTTGGAAACTACTGGCCGTTTCCCACCAATTACAGTCGCAGTGTGCTTAGTAACATATAAACAATGCTGGCTTCATCTCCAGCTCATCCAATCTCTCTGGCACTGAACTAAACAGAAAAGAACAGAAGGCTTTTCCTCTTCGGTCTCTCGGAAGTACCTCATATGCAAGGAACAAGCAATGGTCAACTAAAGATTCAAGCAGACGGTTGAGTTACTGGGCTTAAAGCGGTCACTTAAACTACCCATGTGTCATTTCGGCATCACACTTTGTAGACTTTGACTATCATATATATTATGAATCAGCAGCTATGTAAAATAAGCTTCAGTTCATATTTCATAATCCAATATTTTTCCGTTTTGCCATCCTTTTGTGATGTTTTTTGGTGTGTATGTGTGTGTTTGTATTGGTGAGAGACTGGGGTATGTTTTGAGGTCCGCCCCTTCTTCATTCATCAATAACCGATTTGTGTTCAGAATGGTTAGTCTAAATATTTTTAGTTTCAAATAGCTTTATTGTACAGAGAAAAAAAAACTACTGAAAGTTTTGTGGAGCTTTTGTAGGGCAGTTTACTAATACACAGTAATATGACGACGGTGAACTGTGTTTATGTAGTATATGAAATAAAAACTTTTTCATATATATATATATATATATATATATATATATATATATATGTATATATATTTGTGTATGAAGGATTTGTTCAAAATGAATAAATGACCGTTGTTTCCACATACAGTATCCTGAGTAACAAATAACAGCAGCTTTACCCGAGTCTGCCAGACAAACTCTGAGGCGACTTTCGGTTGTAAGAACGGTAGTATGAAGAAGCTCTGCTCACACAGAAGTCACTTTCAAACCAAACAGATTTCCGTCGGTCAACAAATCGTGACGAATCTCGAGCATGACGGGCAAAATCTGTATGGGGAACTCTTCCGCCCTCATTCAAAACTCCTGATTTCGTGGATCCCTATTGAAATGACTGGATTTCACCTGTGAAATGTCACACTATGTCAACTATTATTTCAGCGAGCAGTAAATAAACCGGGGACAGTATGCAAATTTTCCATACAATACCGGAATCACCCCTAGAGTACCACATAAGTACACTATATCCCACAATGCAATGTGCCCCACTTTCAGTGGGATGAATGAAACTGGAAGCAATCACTAATTTTATTGAACACTTTTTAAAAAGTATTAATTAAAAAAAAATCAGATTAGTGTGTTTATCAATAGTCGTTTTTTAAATTATTACCCTAAATTATGAAATATGTGGTATTAGTGTTACAAAGTATCAGTAGTTATTTATTGTTATTAACATTTAAAGTCATTATTTCAACCCTGTGACGGGAAGATTGGAATTCATAGACTTATAAACTGACTAGATAACCGAGTAAGTTCCATGTAATTATATATATATTTAAAAAAAAAAACTAATATGTTTCTCTTTCAAAACATGTTTTGTGTCAACCCTGTTACTTTCAAAATATTTTGAGGTTGCAAAATATGAAAAAGTTCAAATTCATTAAAAAAAATTTTTTAATGAAAGTGAAATTTAGCTAGAAACAAAGTTTAATTTTAAGTTTTTTTTATGTAACATTGATTAACGTGACTGCAAATTGGCTGAAATTCTTAGGGGGGAAAACTAATAATAAAAACATTTTTTAAAGATATTTTGCATTACACTAAACATATCAAATAATGATTATGTTTTCTGGTAAGTCATGAGGACACGCTTGGCACACAAGTATAGTTTCCTGACAACAGCCCATACACTGCACAGTATTCAAACCAGATCCGTTCCAAGCAAAGCCATTAAGCACAAACATTATTGCAAATTAAGTGTCGGTGTTGATTTTGTGTTTCGCCACTGAACAGTCATCGCATGCATTGTGGTTTAATGATTGCAAGCTAATGAGTGGGAGTGATTAGAAGCAAGCGGAGATGATTTGGGTTGCTATGTTTATTTTATATTTATGTGATTTGCTTCAGAACACCACAGTGTGTGAAATGTTTGGGTTTGTTAGATCACCATATTCTCTCTAGAGATCACCAACTCCTACTCTGACTCCCTCGTCTCTAATGGGACCGAGTCAACCTCTCCCCCATTCGGATGGAATATCCCAGATTGTAAAAGTCTTGAATCTTAAGGCCGTTGTCATGGCAAGGTACACGACGCACTTGTGAGTTTCTTACTCATCCTTTCCCACTGTTGTGGGTTTTCGTCCGATTGTTTGTGTCTTTGGGGCAGGGGCGGGGACAATAAAAAAAACCTCTTGTTGAGTTTTCCCACGCACGCACACTATAACGCAATGGTGTATTTTGGATCGCGTGCAGAAACAGCCCGTATTAACGCTGATAAAAACATCTCTCTATTTCCTTTTGTTTTCTTTCAGTCTCAAAGTCTCCTATTACCCGTCTTCTGTACGCCATCCATCCGTCTCTCTTAAGGAATCTATCGCTTTCTTTTCCCCTCCGATTTCCGATTGTTCTCATCCTCCCACTCTTTTTTCGGTTTGTGTCTGGTGTTTTTTTTTATCTTCCCTCCTTCTTCGCAACCATTCTGTATTGGTCTTGTCAGAACTCGGACTACGGTGTCGCCCTAAAATCCAACACTGACTCCCTTTTCTCTAATAGGACCTAGTTGGCTTCTCCCTCATTCCAGAAGATGGATGAAATACCCCAGAATTTAATAGTCTGGAAGCTTTTTCGAACCCACACTGAGGGTCAGGGGTCCCCGGGACAGTCGACAATCTGCGAAAACACAGATTTGGTTGCCACTCTCTGGGGTGCCGATAACCTCTATTTGTACATGGGATAATTCCCACTAGGCAGTTTTCATGTCATATTAGCCTTTATATATTGGATAAAATGTCAAACTCACAGTTTTTAATGATGAAATCATATCAGTTTTCTTTTATCACAATACGAATGCCATTATCAGTGGAGGATGTGGGGTGAATTGTAAATCATTTCACTTCGATTTGCACAAAGGTGCCATTTTTACCAGGCTCTGGATGAAAAAAAAAGCCTCTTTTCTTTTCTCTAATTGTTGCTTTCTTTTTTAATACTAATTAGTAATCCTTTCCCCAAAGACCTCAACATCACTTTCCACCCTGTTTTTCCAATTATTCTTTAACCCTTTCATGCATAGTGGTCACTACAGTGGACAGCTTTTCAAAAAGCATTCAAAAGCATTTGCATGGGTTTGATGGCATAGTTGCACATCAGTCTCTACAGTGGACACAAGTGCATCATCCTATACATTGCCACCGAGTGGCTAGCTGTTGTGTGTCGATTTTTTACCCCCTCCAACGCGAGATGGCCAATCAGAAATGCCAAGTTGCTCCGTAATATCCACCCATTCCTTCTATCCTAGGAGACTATATTTCAGCTACCATTCATACTATATCTTTTTCAAAATACTTAATCTGCAGTAATTTTTTTTACTGCAAATAAATGTATTTGTGTTATTAGAATGTTGTATTAACGCATGTTGCTTGTAATGCATTACTTTACTCGTTAGATCAAAAAGTAATCTGATTATGTAAAGTACTCGTTAGATCAAAAAGTACGTTATCAGATTACTTTTTGATGTTACGAGTAAAGTAACGCATTACAAGTAATGTGTATTACTCGTTAGATAGAAAAGTAATCTGATTATGTAACGTATGTTACTTGTAATGCATTACTTTACTCGTAACTTCAAAAAAGTAATCTGATTATGTAACGCATGGTGCTTGTAATGCATTACTTTACATAATCAGATTACTTTTTTGAAGTTACGAGTAAAGTAATGCATTACAAGTAACATACGTTACATAATCAGATTACTTTTCTATCTAACGAGTAATACACATTACTTGTAATGCGTTACTTTACTCGTAACATCAAAAAGTAATCTGATAACGTAATGCACATTACTTGTAATGCGTGACTTTACTCGTAACATCAAAAAGTAATCTGATTACGTAATGCACATTACTTGTAATGAATTACTTTACTCGTAACATCAAAAAGTAATCTGATTACATAATGCACATTACTTGTAATGCGTTACTTTACTCGCAACATCAAAAAGTAATCTGATTACGTAATGCACATTACTTGTAATGCGTTACTTTACTCGCAACATCAAAAAGTAATCTGATTACGTAATGCACATTACTTGTAATGAATTACTTTACTCGTAACATCAAAAAGTAATCTGATTACGTAATGCACATTACTTGTAATGCGTTACTTTACTCGTAACATCAAAAAGTAATCTGATTACATAATGCACATTACTTGTAATGCGTTACTTTACTTGCAACATCAAAAAGTAATCTGATTACGTAATGCACATTACTTGTAATGAATTACTTTACTCGTAACATCAAAAAGTAATCTGATTACGTAATGCACATTACTTGTAATGCGTTACTTTACTCGTAACATCAAAAATTAATCTGATTACGTAATGCACATTACTTGTAATGAATTACCTTACTCGTAACATCAAAAAGTAATCTGATTACATAATGCACATTACTTGTAATGCGTTACTTGTAACATCAAAAAGTAATCTGATTACGTAATGCACATTACTTGTAATGCGTTACTTGTAACATCAAAAAGTAATCTGATTGCGTAATGCACATTACTTGTAATGCGTTACTTTACTCGTAACTTCAAAAAAGTAATCTGATTGCGTAATGCACATTACTTGTAATGCGTTACTTTACTCGTAACATCAAAAAGTAATCTGATTACTTAATGCACATTACTTGTAATGAATTACTTTACTCGTAACATCAAAAAGTAATCTGATTACATAATGCACATTACTTGTAATGCGTTACTTTACTCGTAACATCAAAAAGTAATCTGATTACGTAATGCACATTACTTGTAATGCGTTACTTGTAACATCAAAAAGTAATCTGATTGCGTAATGCATGTTCCTTGTAATGCGTTACTTTACTCGTAACATCAAAAAGTAATCTTATTGCGTAATGCACATTACTTGTAATGAATTGCTTTACTCGTAACATCAAAAAAGTAATCTGATTGCGTAATGCATGTTCCTTGTAATGCGTTACCCCAAACACTGCTCATTTCAGATGAGATTGAGAACCCCTGATTGGTTTTCTCAGAGGAGAGCTATGTTAGAAATGTGTCCATCTTAGAGATTTCTGATGGAATCACGTCATCATGTTCTGATATCAAAGATACGCAAAGTTCAACTTGTATGAAGTTAAATTGCTTTTGCAATATTTTGCATTTATATTTTTTGTATATATTTGATAGTTTTCACATGATTTTATATAATTTTATTGATTGGTTTGTTAAATACACATAATATTGCTGTGTCATTATTGTATTATGTTTAATACAGTATGTCTTCAGTTTAAACCCTAAACGCATGATGTCCACTCAAGTGGACATCTGAAAATCTCTTTGAAAAATGATGTGTAAAAAAACAACAACATTTTAAATCTTGTTTTTCATGCCTTAATAGCAATAAAAACACATAGGAAAAAAAAAAATCCTGACTGAGGTTATCATAATTCATGCATGACAGGGTTAAATAACAAAAGCCGGGTCCTCAGGGACATCATCCTTCAGGGTGTGACATCATTTTTTATTTGTAAAACAACAGCAC